GTATTACTTATTTTGTTCCTTATCATGATGTCATTGTTGCGCTGTCATCAGCGGACTGTCTAGTATATGTTTTACTGGGGTTCTTACGTCGTTTTCATTTAGTCATAGTGTTAATAGATAAAAGAAGATGTGGTATGAGTGCCGATGAGACAACTTTCAATCGAAGTCACAATTTGTTAAAAGTAAACCATTATAGGTCAAAGTACGGCCTTCAACACGGAGCCTTGGCTCACACCGAACAGCAAGCTTAACTCAATCAAAAGACATATTAACAAAAACAAGTAAGCATACACCGAACGAATACATTTGATCTATGACACAATGTAAATACAATATCAATAAAAAGGGGGAAGCTGTAAAACAATAACAGAAACACAACTATAACATTGGACAAAATGACGTTTAATAAAATAACGTACACAAGTAAATATGATAATTTGGATGTAAGAAGTATATGCAGTACGGAAATATTTTTTACAAAATAAATAAATTTGCTGTTCAAACTGTTTTTATTTGACTTGGTGTCTGTTCTCTGGATATAGTTACTCACTCTTTTTGTAGGAAGCAAAATCCATTCACATATATTTCAAAAATAGTTGTCTGTTTTTATTGGACTTACGAGTGGTGTTTGTTCTATGGATATAGTTACTCTCTCTTATCATAGGAAGCAAATTCCATCTAAATATATTTCAAAAAAGAAAAAAAATTATAAACCGGTCTTCGTTTTCCAGCTTTCAGGGTAAACATGTAGTTGTTATACTTTCTGTAACTATGAACATTATTTGAACTTCCTCTATCCCTGTGAGTACACAATCAACTGTTTTATTTTTTACCCCAGTATGTGTGTATAATTGCTTTATTCACATCAATGAAATATGGAGAAAAAAGGGATTATTTAAGACACCCTATCGCCCAATATCTGTGCGAGCATTTACTACCCAGTTAATAAAACCCCTGCGACGGTTTTTACTGCCATAAAAAAAGTGAAATAAAAGGAAAAATCAAACTAGAGGCTCTCAGGAGCCTGTGTCGCTCGCCTGATTCTACTTTGGTTTTGGAAATCATGTAAAAATAGATTAAAATCATAATGATACCTTAATAATGATTGAGGCCAAATTTGATTAAATATTGGCCCCGCTATATAGATGATGTTCTCTCACTAAATAATACAAAATTTGGTGACTATGTTGAACGAATCTATCCCATCGAACTAGAGATAAAGGATACTACAGATACAGTTAAGTCTGCCTCATATCTTGACTTACATCTAGAAATTGACAATGAGGGTCGGTTGAAAACAAAACTTTACGACAAAAGAGATGATTTCAGCTTCCCAATTGTGAACTTTCCATTTCTATGAAGCAACATTCCAGCAGCGCCTGCATACGGAGTATATATCTCCCAATTGATACGATATTCCCGGGCTTGTAGTTCCTATCATGATTTCCTTGATAGAGGATTGCTGCTCACAAAGAAGCTATTTAACCAAGAGTTCCAAATGGTGAAGTTGAAGTCATCCCTTCGTGAATTTTACGGACGCCATCACGAGTTGGTTGACCGTTATGGAATAACCGTTTTACAGATGATATCGGATATGTTCCTTATGTCGTAACTACAATACCCTTCCCTTTTCACGAATGTGACTTACCGAATTAGACTATTTACCGGATTTGTAATAACATAGCAACACGACGGGTGCCACGTGTGGAGCAGGATCTGCTTACCCTTCCGGAGCTCCTGAGATCACCTCCAGTTTTTGGTGGGGTTCGTGTTGCTTAGTCTTTAGTTTTCTATGTTGTGTCATCTGTACTATTATTTGTCTGTTTGTCTTTTTATTTTTGGCCATGGCGTTATCAGTTTGTTTTCGATCTATGAGTTTGACTGTCCCTCTGGTATCTTTCGTCCCTCTTTTAATCAAAAGCAGAAGACTTTTTTAAAATTTACAGAAATTACCAATAAATTAAGGAACATTAATACCATGTTTGGTTTAAATCCATTCAACGGTTCTTTAGAAGAAGACATTGGTAACATATTTCCCAATAGTGTTTTATGTTAAACTAAGGTCCTCCTGGTGGCAATCTTGAACAGTAAATCGGCAACAAAGTAGCAACACTTCATCAGCTCCTCATAAAGAACATTTGTGCCATGTTTGGTTTCATTCCATTCAGTGCTCCTCTAATAGAAGCATTTGTGTGTATTTCCCGTAGGGTCTTATGTCAAACTAAGTCCCCTGCTGGCGGCCATCTTGGATGATGGTTCGGCTACAATGTAACAATACTTGGACAGCACCTCATTAGGAACATTCATGCCATGTCTGGTTCCATTCTACTCAATGGTTCTCTAGAGGAAAACATTTGAATGTATTTCCCATAGGGTCCTATCTTAAACTTATTCCCCCTGCTGGCAGCCATCTTGGATGACAAATCACCTAAAAAGTAACAACATTTGGTCAGCACCTCAAAAGAAACTTTCATACCATGTTTGGTTTCAATCAATTAAGCGGTTTTCTAGAGGAAGACATTTGTATATATTTCCCATAGGGTCCTTTGTTAAACTAAGTCTCCCGTTTGCAGCCATCTTGGTTGACGGATTTGCTACAAAGTAACAACACTTGGTCAGCACCTCATAAGGACCATTCATGCCATGTTTGGTTTCATTCCATTCAGTGGTTCTTCAAAAGAAGACTTTTGTATGTATTTCCCATATGGTTCTATGTTAAACTTACTCCCCCTGCTGGCAGCCATCTTGGATGAAAAATCAGTTAAAAAGTAACAAGACTTGGTCAACACCTCAAAAGAAACTTTCATACCATGTTTGGTTTCAATCAATTAAGCGGTTTTCTAGAAGAGGACATTTGTATATATTTCCCATAGGGTCCTTTGTTAAACTAAGTTCCCCACTGGCAGCCATCTTGGATGATCGGTTGGCTACAAAGTAACAACACTTGGTCAGCACCTCATCAGGAACATCAATGCCATGTTTGGATTCATTCCATATAGTGGTTCTCTAAAAGAAGACATTTGTATGTATTGTCCATAGGGTCCTATGTTAAACGAAGTCCCCCGCTGGCGGCCATTGTTGGTGATGGATCAGCTACAAAGTAACAACACGTGGTCAGCACCTCATAAGGAAAATTCATGCAATGTTTGGTTTCATTCCATTCAGTGGTTTTCTAGAAGAAGTTCAAAATGTAAAAAGTTAACGACGACGACGGATGACGAAGACGATGGACGACAACGGACGACAAGTGATGAGAAAAGCTCACTTAGCCTTTAAAGCCAGGTGAGCTAAAAATAAAGTCCTTTATCAAATTGCAAATTCGAAAGCTCAAACACATGAAACGAATGGAAAACAACAGTCATATTCCTGACATGTTACAGGCATTTCCTCATGTAGAAAATTAGGGACTTTTCTTTTTGAATTTTCCACGGAGTTCAGTTTTTTTGTGAATTTACTTTTTTAAAGCTAGCTAAACCTCTCACTTGTATGACAGTCACATAGAATTCCATTATATTGACAGCAATATGTGAGCAAAACAAAAAGACATAATAGGTAAAATTGTCAAAAATAGGGACACAGCAGTCAACATTGTGTTATAATCTTAATCGCTATAAAAACAAATAACTATTTCAACAAAGAAAAACAAAACGGCATATAAACAAAGCACACTAGCAAAAATCGAAAGACAAGAATACAAAAATCCATCACAACACAACAACTCAACGACGGGTTGCACAAGCACCGAACCACGTCAAATGGAAATCACCAAAAATAGACTAAACAGCAAATGTAACAATTTACAAAGACAAACAAAAGAATACTAAAACACGTTATTAAGATGATAAACAAAGTAAGTACCTAGAATTTATACTTCAAGACCATCGTGTATTATTTGTGACGTTGATACGAAATATTTATCAACAAGGTCTTGGTATCTTCCGATGAACTTGTTTAGAAAGACGAGACGTTCTTTGACATATCCCTGGATCATCAACTTTCTGCTTGGCCTTTTGTGACGTTTTATAAAGTCTGAGTAGCAGCTGCAAGCTCTTGAATACCGAATTAGTTGCGATATGTATATCCGATATGCAGGTGAAGTTGATGTATTGCTGCTTAGGTGGAGAAATTAATAATTTGAAAATTAAAATCTTCTCGTTTGTCATAGATTCTAGTACTGAGATGACCACTTACGTCAAATTTGATGTATAAGTCTAAAAATGAGGTGGAGGAAGCCGTGTCTGTTGTTTCTTTATTTATTTGTTCTGGAGGAACCCAATCAGAAAAATTTGGATTCTTAATCTGTTTATCTGAATAATAAATAAAGTAACCCTGAATTTATACCAATAAATATACTCAAAATTGTCGCACCTTTCCCACGTAAAATCGCATTCCCCGTTTCCATTTTAAATTCTATTCTGCATAAAACAAGTGGTCTGTCAAACAGGTATGACTGTATATACGTGGTCATAAATAATTTTCAGTATGCATTTCTACATGTTCAAAATAAAACATTTTACCAAATTATATAAAGATTATAAGATGTAATAAGAATGATGGTGAAATAAACATATATCAGAGCTCTACTGATAAGGATGTGAAATATAAACACGAAGCTCATTGTTAAAACTGAATGATGCAAATAGTTCACACCAATTTCTTCTATTATTTTGTGTGAATGTTACAGATTTCTGGTACACATACTTGAAGCAGCTTGGCAATTAAGATATAGATTGTATCGACTAAATAAGACTGTTCAGTTTGGGTGGAGAAATCTCAGTGTTTCGAAGAGTTAAACATTTTCCCTCTAGCAAATATACAGAACTTTTAATAATTGTCTACTTTTTTCTACCATTGAGATGATAGACACGCAGTGAAAGTAATAATGACCTTTGTCTCTGTTAAGATCTTTATATTGTTTTCATTGCTCTTTTGTCATTCAATTGAATAGCAATTTTTTCCCCATTTGGCACATTTTAATGTAAAACTAAATTTAAGAAGTATCGAGGTAAATCAAATTTATTAAATAGTTTCAAATAATTCCTTCGATAAAAATAATTTTTATCAAATCTAATTTACATAGCTAAGACCGGATACATAATTTAAACATATTCCTGACTTTCTTGTACCAACCTATTCATGTAACAAGTGAAGATTTTCAGACATTATAAACAAGTTCCGTAATTGGCAGCATTTGTTTTTGACTGAACTGATCTTTCCTCCACCTTTCTGTATTAGTCTTAACTTGTGCTTGACCTTTACTTGATCAATTCTTAACCATTCGTTTTATAGTTTTTAATCATACCCAACGAAAGATGGAACAATACTTGGCAGATTATGGCTTTGACGAAACAAAGTCCGAGTTAAAAGGTTATGAAAAAAATGTATATGAATATAGGAGGGATTATTTCTTTTCATATTAAAATTTACTGTCTGTTAATATATATAACAATTATTATAATGGTGAGTCAATCACAAAACTTAAACGGAATATCTTCTGGTATGTTGTTTTAAAATTTCCATTACATTTTCGTACATTTCACAGCAAAATGGCCATTTTAGTCCTAAGCCATCCTGTTTCTTTTCTATTATCAACTGTCTTGATTTTTCTAAAGCAGACACACAGTGACTATCTCTGACAGTGAGATCGGTTCCATTCTCTATCAATAACTCAACCTTTTTGTCGATGTCTACCATATTGCTTTCAATTATTCTGTTAAATGGTGACTTTCCTCTTTCGTCACATTTTTTATTGACATCCAATCCTAACTGTAACAAGTGTTTTAGACATTCAATGCTTCTCCGTTCTAAACATTTAAACAAATTCTCCAAAAAATGCATGTTTTTCTTTGTAATAACACCACCATCATCTGATCTATTATAAATGCAAACATCTGTCTTTCTTATGTCAACCAATATATCAAACAAGTGATAATTCCCTGAGAACGGTATATTTTGGTTTTCTGCTCTGATCAATTCTTTTGCTATTTCAGAACCGTTTAACAATACTGCAAATTCTAAAGGGGACATATTTTCATCATTTCTAATTGTAAAATCTGCATTATTTGTAATAAGAAATTTTACTATATCACTGTGGCCAATTTCCACTGCCTGGAACAGTGGAGTTTTGTTCATATAATCACAGAAGTTTATATTAGCTCCGTTCAATACCAGATACTTGACAACGTCATAATGTCCTTTTGCTGATGCTCTAGATAACGGTGACTGGTAATATTTAACACACTGGTTAATATCGGCTCTGTTTTGTACTAGATATTTCACAATGTCAATATGTCCTTCTTCTGATGCTCCATATAATGGCGCCCTATTCATATGATCACTGAGGTTAACATCTGCTCCATTCTGTACCAGATATTCCACAACGCTAGTATGTCCTTTTACTGATGCTTGGTATAATGGAGACGAGTTAATATTATCACACTGATTGATATTGGCTCCATTCTGTACCAGATATTCTACAATATTACAAAGTCCTCCTCCTGACGCTTTAAATAATGGAGAATGGTTATATTTATTACATTGGTTAACATCAGCTCCGTTCTTTACAAGATAGTCAACAATGTCATAATGCCCTTCAACTGACGCCCCATATAATGAAGACTGGTTAAATATACTACACAGGTTAACAAAGGCCCCGTTCTCTACCAAATACTTTACAATGTCAGTATGTCCTTCTCGTGATGCTCCATATAATGGAGACGGGTTATTTTCACTACCCTGGTTAACATCGGCTCTATTCTGTACTAGATATTTTACAATATCAATATATCCTTCAAGTGATGCTCCCATCAATGGAGACGGGTTATATTTACCGCAACCATTAACATCGACTCCGTTCTGTACCAGATATTGAACAACGCCATAATGCCCTCCAGATGATGCTTCATATAACGGAGACTTGTCGTAATTATTACACTGGTTAACATCAGCTCCATTCTCTACCAGATGTTTAACAACTTCATGATGTCCTTCTTGTGATGCGGTATATAATGGAGACTCGTTATCTTCATTACACTGGTTAACATCGACTCCTTTCTGTATCAGAAATTTGACAATATCATCATGTCCTTTTAATGATGCTGATAGAAGCGGAAAACGAAAATTATCATCATATAGATCTATTTTTGCATTTTTCATTACAAGAACTTGTACGACTGATAAATGACCATCATAACATGCTGCTGTGAGCGGTGTGTATTTTCTGTGCCCATTATGGGATGTTAGCATATTTTCTTTATACGATGTTTTGTTTACACAGTCAACTTGGACATACTTTAGAATCGTATTCACCATATCAGGATCACCACTGTAACATCCTAAAGTAAGTAGTCGCGTCTGTTCTGTGATGTCTGATTTAAACACAATGTCACTGGAATCATTGTGTTCAAGAGCAAGATTGACAATGCTCTGTAAAAGATATGTATGCCCATAATAAAGTATCCAACTTATGGCCCTTATAGCATTTGTTCCTTTCCACAATATATCGAAATAGACGTTCCTTAATAAATCTAGTTTTCCTTCGTCCTCGTTTCCGTCCTTCTCCTCTTCTTCTTTATCAGAATATCTATTTACAACGTTGGAGGCATTGTTTTCTGTAAAAAGTAAAGCCTTCAGTTCATAATACGGCTTGTTACGTAATACTTTTACAAAGACTCCCAGAAAAGGAGGATATAATAACGATTTGTTCATAAACACATCAAATAGTTCAAATGATTGTAAATCTGTATACAGTCTTTCAGCCAGTAGTTCATAATAATCTGTTTCGATCAATATTGATAGATCAGTACCTAAAGCAGCAGTATGGTCCTTGGACACTATAAGTTTCGTAGCTATGAAGTTACTTTTCATATATTTTAGTAATATATGTGGGCAATTTCGTCCGTAGTGAAAAGCAACAATTTCATATATTGCATCGTGAATAAAGGTAACGTCATGATCATGTTTTATCAAATAGGTACCAATCAAATTGGACAATGCGTTTTTTATCTGTTTATCTGAAGTTCCTAGGTTAACTCCACACGTGTTCAATCCATCAAGTTTCATTTTATCGCCTGGCATGTTTTTCAAAGATAGAAAATTGTTACAGAGAACGCATAGTACTAGAGCTACATATTGTTCAGGGCAAATATATTCCAACTGATCCAATTCGCTAATAAGGCAATCTAAGGGCTGTGCGAAAAACATATCCGCAGAACCATGAAGTTCATGCTTTGTAGAAAATACCTTACAAAGCAATGGGAACATTATGTTTGATGACGATAGTGATACACTATCATAGCTGTTTTCTGGAACACCTTTATTCCTACAATGTTTTGTTAAAATATTTTCTTTTTCGACGTCGTTTAATTTGTTATCCTTCCATTCTAAGTCTACAATATTCTTAAATACAAACGGTTTAAGCTTTTCGGTTTCATGATAAACAGACCTTCTACAAGTCAAAATCAATTTTGAGTCTTTACTTATTGCATTCATTATACCTTCTTTGTGGTTTTTTACATTGTTATACATAAACATATCTACGGCAAATATGCCAAAGATGTCATCCAATAAAAATATTTGTTTGAATGTCACATCTGTATACTGTAAAATATCTTCAATTCTAAATACTGGAACTATTTCCCATCCGTTTTGTTCATATTGCATTGCTATATGTCTTGCTGTAGCTGTTTTACCACATCCTGGTCCACCCACTAGAGCAACAATAGAGCAGGACTCTACTTTGTCTTTTGTAGCTTGATAAACATTTGTGGCATCATAAAATAACTCATCATCTTTTTTCCATACTTCAAGAAGTTTTGTCTGGGTTCCTGAAAAATAGTATTAAGATATGGTACCGTTGTCAGTGTGCTCTAGATTATCAAATAATTGGAGATCAAAAAGGTCGGAATGGTAAAAAAACAAAAATTTAATGTAGTATCAAACTAAGTAAGTCTAAAAAGTTATATGGATTTTAAGGCCAGTAGTGGTATGGACTACAATATTACTGTTTAATAGACAAAAATACCGATCTCCGAGGTATATTCAAAATTGAATCCATAAAACATGCCAAAATCAAACTTATATCAACCAATAGAAAGAATGGAACATGTGGAAAACAACTGTTATCCGCTTGTCTTGTTACATACATAACCAAAGTAAATGATGGGTTAAACATGATTTTATAGCTACCTTAAATTCTCACTTGTATAACAGTTGTAAATAGTTTCGTCATCTGGACAAAACTGAGTGAGCAACCCGAACAGACTTAATTGATTAATGTGACAATAATTGCGATCCAACAGCCAAACTGTGTAAACATACAGCACAGACATACATCACAACTGACTCGAAAATTCAAACAAACATACAAATAAATCTGACAAATTATAGCGGACTATGCGGTATGGGCTTTGCTCATTGTTGAAGGCCGTATGATGACCTGTAGTTGTTAATTTCTGTGTCATTTGGTCTCTTATGTAGAGTTGTCTCGTTGGCAATCATACCACATCTCCTTTTTATTTTATTAAGACATCAACAGCAAGAAGTCATTGTATGTACAGCAAATAAATCTGACGAAGACGCCAACACAAAAAGTTTTTGTATTTGATAGTACATCCAGTAGAAGTAGTTTTTATCTGTTATATTTGTATATAACTCGAATCGTTTATATAATGAAGGCGACGATTTAAATTTGTTCCTCAAAAAAATGAATTATACCGAATCACAAATCACCAATGCACCTGAAATATCCATTATCCGAAAAGTACATCGTCTTAAAGGTTATGAGATCATGAACTACTTCTGGTTTAGCCTATTATAATATCAATATTACCTCTGATGTGCGGCGGTATATGATTGTCCTCTATCGTCTGGATTCTCTCTTTGCATTCTTCCATATCCTGATGTAATATGTTAATTTCACCTTTCATAATTTCAATAACTATTTTTAGATTTTCAAATATTTCATTTTTTAACTGTTGGTCCAGTTTTTGTTTTGAAAGTTTAATCACGTCCACTGACATTGATCCGAAGCTTAATCTTACAATAGCCTGAAAATAGAGATGATTTATATATGATACAGGCATTTTCTAAATCTTAGCATTTTGTAAAATGTCTAAAATCTTAAGACATTTTCTAAAATGCCAGTGAGATTCTGGCATTATAAATTGACTAATTTTTTTAATAAAATGCTTGGAATCACTGAAAGACATTTTACAAAATGCCAGAATTTATTTTATAGACTGAACTGATAACATAAATTGGGCCATTAAAAAGTATTCAACTATTAAGCAGTTTTTTTATCTTTGATAATAATGAATTTTAGCGCTTGCATTTTGAGTTTTATAATCAAAATTGAATTCTACCGAACAGACTTAATTGATTAATGTGACAATAATTGCGATCCAACAGCCAAACTGTGTAAACATACAGCACAGACATACATCACAACTGACTCGAAAATTCAAACAAACATACAAATAAATCTGACAAATTATAGCGGACTATGCGGTATGGGCTTTGCTCATTGTTGAAGGCCGTATGATGACCTGTAGTTGTTAATTTCTGTGTCATTTGGTCTCTTATGTAGAGTTGTCTCGTTGGCAATCATACCACATCTCCTTTTTATTTTATTAAGACATCAACAGCAAGAAGTCATTGTATGTACAGCAAATAAATCTGACGAAGACGCCAACACAAAAAGTTTTTGTATTTGATAGTACATCCAGTAGAAGTAGTTTTTATCTGTTATATTTGTATATAACTCGAATCGTTTATATAATGAAGGCGACGATTTAAATTTGTTCCTCAAAAAAATGAATTATACCGAATCACAAATCACCAATGCACCTGAAATATCCATTATCCGAAAAGTACATCGTCTTAAAGGTTATGAGATCATGAACTACTTCTGGTTTAGCCTATTATAATATCAATATTACCTCTGATGTGCGGCGGTATATGATTGTCCTCTATCGTCTGGATTCTCTCTTTGCATTCTTCCATATCCTGATGTAATATGTTAATTTCACCTTTCATAATTTCAATAACTATTTTTAGATTTTCAAATATTTCATTTTTTAACTGTTGGTCCAGTTTTTGTTTTGAAAGTTTAATCACGTCCACTGACATTGATCCGAAGCTTAATCTTACAATAGCCTGAAAATAGAGATGATTTATATATGATACAGGCATTTTCTAAATCTTAGCATTTTGTAAAATGTCTAAAATCTTAAGACATTTTCTAAAATGCCAGTGAGATTCTGGCATTATAAATTGACTAATTTTTTTAATAAAATGCTTGGAATCACTGAAAGACATTTTACAAAATGCCAGAATTTATTTTATAGACTGAACTGATAACATAAATTGGGCCATTAAAAAGTATTCAACTATTAAGCAGTTTTTTTTATCTTTGATAATAATGAATTTTAGCGCTTGCATTTTGAGTTTTATAATCAAAATTGAATTCTACTGAATCATTTAAATGTCCACCAAGTTCTGAATTCGGAAATTATTTGTTATTTCATAAAATATTTGGATGGCAGAATCTGTTAAACATTTGTCCTAATGTTTTTTTGTTTTTTTTTGGCAAATACATCTGTCGACGTTAAATCGGAATTTAGAATTAGAACCACATTGGTGACTCATTTTTTTATGTCAATACATTTTCGGATGATAAAACAAAAAAGATCGCAATATTATTATCTGAAAAACAGAGTGAGTACACTTATTACAGACATACAAACTTTCACATCAGGTATTTGAATGATAAACATAATTTGACTAAATCATTAGTTATTTTCTGTGCAAAATATTGACAAAATGACTAGGTATTTAAAGTCATTTTATATAATGCCTGTCAAAGTTAGCATATTATTAATTGCCTAAAAATTGGGAGATAATTTGCTTCTTCCAGTTACGAAAATGTCATTTCCGGTCTCATATGATAGCTTACTTTCCACTGATTCCGAAAATATATGGTTTTTAAATATTTTTCTTTCAAATAAGGGGGACAATAAGCTACTTCCGGTTTATATAAGGTGACTTCGGGTGTCAATAAAAGGTTAATGTATGCTGATTCTAAACATATATGGTTTCTATGTATTTTTTCCTTGAATTAGTGCAAAAATAGCTACTTCCGGCTTGCACAAGGTCACTTCCGGTTGATATATTTCAAGGTTATTTGTCACCCAAATCTTTGCAAAAAACACTTTGGGTTTATTATGTATCGCAATGAAGTTATATTCGATTTACCATTAATTGTAACATTTAAGGGACAATAACTCTAATAAGATATCATCAGATCGCTTTGGACTAAATGTACCATTTATTTGTCTCAACAACCCAAACAATTATCATCAGTTCTTTTATATGTAGCTTTTATTGTATAAGATGAGAGGCACACACAAGCTAAGGACAATATTTAGAAAATGACATTGACCTTTGACCTTGACATCATTTTCTTTTTGGTGGACCAAGGACCTCAAATCAAGATCCCCTAGGACTCTATCACTTACGGTTCATGAGTAACATTTGTATACCACTCATGTCAAATGCAAAAGAGGAAATAACTCTCGTATGGAGTCTAAGTATCTCTTCGGTTAAAATTGACCGAAGCATCCTGAGGTTTTAACGAGCCATTTGGAAAAATAAATTTGTCCATTTCTTTTACGGCTTCAAAGGAGATGCGCACACAGGAAAAACAGTGTTTGGGGAGATAACTCTTATAAAGAAAATTGTTCGGTTAAGCAGAGTCAAAACTAAAAGCCATTTACGAGCCATTTGGAAAAATAAATTTGTCGATTTCTTTTACGGTTTCGTAGGAGATGCGCACAAAAGAAAAACAGTGTTTGGGGAGATAACTCTTATAAAGAAAATTGTTCGGTTAAGCAGGGTCAAAACTAAAAGCGCATAAATTGTTCGATAACATATACCAAATATCTAAGGGACATGTTGCGAAACAAAAATTACACGCAAGAACAAAATTTGGCGGAAAGAAAAAATAATAATCAGAAAAAATACAATAGGTCTTTCCACAGAAAAGTGGAAAGACCTAATTATGAGGTTAACATAACAGTAAGAGGATGATTTTTCTGATTATATAAAGTTAAAATGGCAATAACCAGGTCCATTGGCGAATTATTTAAGATCTGCCAGACAGTATGTGTATCATCAGTCTCTTGTCCAGGTCCATTGGCGAATTATTTAAGATCTGCCAGACAGTATGTGTACCATCAGTCTCTTGTCCAGACTGTATGTATTAAAATAATTCATTAAAGAATTGATTTTCTTTAATGAATTATTTTAATACATACAGTCTGGACAAGAGACTGATGGTACACATACTGTCTGGCAGATCTTAAATAATTCGCCAATGGACCTGGACAAGAGACTGATGATACACATACTGTCTGGCAGATCTTAAATAATTCGCCAATGGACCTGGTTATTGCCATTTTAACTTTATATAATCAGAAAAATCATCCTCTTACTGTTATGTTAACCTCATAATTAGGTCTTTCCACTTTTCTGTGGAAAGACCTATTGTATTTTTTCTGATTATTATTTTTTCTTTCCGCCAAATTTTGTTCTTGCGTGTAATTTTTGTTTCGCAACATGTCCCTTAGATATTTGGTATATGTTATCGAACAATTTATGCGCTTTTAGTTTTGACCCTGCTTAACCGAACAATTTTCTTTATAAGAGTTATCTCCTCAAACACTGTTTTTCTTTTGTGCGCATCTCCTACGAAACCGTGGTTAAAGTTTTTGAAATTTTAATAACTTTCTTAAACTATCCTGCATTTCAATCAAACTTGCACATAAGCTTGTTTATGGTCATAAGATAGTATCAAGAAGAAAATTTTGTAAAAAAAAATCCTGTTTTTCCGTATTTTACTCATAAATGGACTTAGTTTTTCTGCCAGTTAACATTACATTCACTCTGTGGTTAAAGTTTTTCAAATTTTAATAACTTTCTTAAACTATCCTAGATTTGTACCACACTTAGTCAGAAGATTGTTTATAATCATAAGAGAGTATCCAGAAGAAAATTTTGTAAAAAAAAATCCTGTTTATCCGTATTTTACTCATATATGGACTTAGTTTTTCTGCCAGTTAACATTACATTCACTCTGTGGTTAAAGTTTTTCAAATTTTAATAACTTTCTTAAACTATCCTAGATTTGTACCACACTTGGACAGAAGATTGTTTGTGATCATAAGATAGTATTCAAAAGTAAATTATGTTAAAAAAAATCCTGTTTATCCGTATTTCACTTATAAATGGACTTATTTTTTCTGCCAGTTAACATTACATTCACTCTGTGGATAAAGCTTTCAAATTTTTAATTACTTTCTTGAACTATCCTGGATTTGTACCACACTTGGACAGAAGCTTCATTATGATCAAAAGCTAGTATCTAGAAGGAAATTTGGTAAAAATTTATTACCTGTTTTTCCGTATATTACTTATAGATGGACTTAGTTTTATTCCAGTTAACATTACGTACAGTCTGCAGTTAAAGTTTTTAAAACATTTATTAGATTCATAAACCTTCTTGGATTTTTACCAAACTTGAACAGAACTCCTTACAGTCAAAAGATAGTATCTAGAGGAAAAATTTTTAATACTTTTTTCCCCATTTTTGTTGAGCCTGCGACTAACAGTAAAAGTAGGCGAGACACTGGGTTCCGCGGAACCCTTACGAATTTTTTTTGTTCAATCATTAATGAAAGTGAGATAGTGAAATAATAATAATTCGGTATTAGCAGCAAGTATCATGGTTTAATTTTTTCAAAATAAGCAAAAACACCGATTATGAATTATTATTATTATTAGTAGGGTGCCCAGTACCGAAAAAGTCGTCTAGTTAACGAGTTTAAGTTAAGGGATAACACACGGCTATATCTATATGCAAACTATTGGAAAATCATTATATTTTCCAATCATGAATGTCGTCGTAAGCTTCCGTGGTTTCGTTTTTCAAAATCTTGTGGTTTCTTAGGGTATCAGATACTCGCACAATTTTACATGCTATTCATGTAAACAAAGAGTTCGGTATGAAAGGAATCAAGGGTAGGATAACAATAAAGTCACAAAATACAAATTTACTGATCTTATACGTTCATTACTTCCCCTCCATGCAGCATACGCATAAGCTATGGTTTTAAACTGGCATTACAACTTGCACACAAGGTTTGCGCTGCTATATACCTGTCCACGAAATATGTAAAAGTCTCGGGTCTGTCATCTGTAACACTTTACCAGTCGCACATGCTGTAACAGAATGCTATACAACGTCATCCCTGTTTGGGATCGGTAAGCGCTCTGTTTTCAAAGTCTTGCAGGACAACCAAGAAAATTTCACCTTTCGAATTGTGACATCGATGAATCTATAGATGCAGCTCGAAATCTTGTTGTTAGGTTGTATGATCTCAAGTCAGAACTCATAACAGATCATAGTGACCTAAACAAATTGAGGGTAAAATTGGCTATAATTAAAAATTTCTCCCTTGTGAAAATTCCTCCTTGTGAATCTACCTTTAAACAACATGTAATAAGAGCATCACTCAAAACATACGTTTGGATGTTTTCCCTATATAGCAAAACTACCCTTACATTCTCATCATAGTCATCTGTATATATAGGATGGGGTTGTTTTACCTGTTTCTAACAGACGTTTTGTTTTCATAACTTTACCCCCTCCGTCTGCAGTAATATTTACTTCTGTAAAGCAAAACTATACAAAGATCTTTATATTCAACCAATTCGACGTTTATGTTACACAAATTTCGAAATAAACCAATAATATATACGCTTTCACACTCAACAACAGAAATTTGATATTTATCTAGAAATTGACGAACTCCTTACTATCAAAAGACGTGAAAAACACATTTCGTTTTCGACAAATTATTAAAGTTAAGATCTAAAAAACATCTTTAGATCTTACTTGTAACGAATTGAATATGGAAATTCCAAATTTTGAAATTAAAAAGAGTCAAGGTCACTGTTATTTAACAGATGTTTGAAAATTTCAATTTAAAGTCATTTTTGGCGACAAAAATATAAAATAAGTTTTAAATGTAAAAACGAAAGATATTTTTCTTTAAATTAGTTATAGTTATTTTACTCCAAACACATATGTGTAG